TTGGCGCATAAGCGTGTTCACCGTCGGCGCATCAACCGTTTGCTTGCCCGGCCTGCGCCCTCCGTGCCAGACGACTTGCAAGCCTCTTGCGCCAGCAGCAAGCCGAACCTTGATGGGCCGTGCTGGATGTTGCTGACTTCCGGTACTCCGAAGCGCCCGAGCCCAGCCGGCTGCTGACCAGGTCAACGACAGGGCTTCTGGGGGGTGAGCCACAGGACAGGCAATCGGCAAAGGCGCGTGGGAAGAAAAAACAAAACAAAAACATTTGAACGCTCCGACCATGGAGACGCTTACGCGCCAATAGCGAACACTCTTGTGGGACATTAAGCAAAAATAACAAAGGCTCTCTGCGCAATGCTTGGCACGGCAGCGTCTCGAAAGCGTCTATCCCGGACAAGGCGCAGGCCATGAAAGCTGTTGCTCCCCGTACGCTTTGGGACACTAAGCCCCAAAAGAAGCGGTTAGCTCAGCGGGCACACGGCCCGGCGATCTGGCAGCACTGGAAAACAAATGAAGCCACGTGCTGGGAGACAAGCAAATGCGCAAACTGGCGCGCATGCGGCCTGGCAATCTGGCAGCGCTGGGAGACAAATGAAGGCACATACTGGGAGACAAGATGAGACAAGTAAATGTGCACACAGGCAAGCACGCGGCCCGGCGATCTGGCAGCATGCGGCCCGGCGATCTAGCAGCATACGGCCCGTTCATTTTTATAAGAGTAAGAGCCCCAACAACCCTGCCCTTCCACCAACTCAACGACTTGTCGTAAAGTCACAGCAAAGCACCCTTACCTTCGCACCCTTGGACGGCTCGGCAGTCGGCGCCTTTTGGCTTTCAGGCTCCTGGTGTCACATCTTCTCATCAAGGTGCTCTGATCTCATACCGCATGCTGGCAAAGAGCATTACGAAAACAACTGCACATGCTTTCCCTACCCACCCTGCCCTTCCACCTCGATCCGACTTGTTGTAAAGTTACATCAAAGCACCCTCACCTTCACACCCTTGGACGGCTCGGCAGTCGGTGCCTTTTGGCTTTCAGGCTCCTGGTGTCGCATCTTCTCATCAAGGTGCTCTGATCTCATACCGCATGCAGGCAAAGAGCACTACGAAAACAACTGCACATGCCTTCCCTACCCACCCTGCCCTTCCACCAACTCGATCCGACTTGTTGTAAAGTTACGTCAAAGCACCCTCACCTTCACACCCTTGGACGGCTCGGCAGTCGGTGCCTTTTGGCTTTCAGGCTCCTGGTGTCGCATCTTCTCATCAAGAAGCTGTGATCTGATACTGCATGCAGGCAAAGAGCAGTACGAAAACAACTGCACATGCCTTCCCTACCCACCCTGCCCTTCCACCTCGATCCGACTTGTTGCAAAGTTACGTCAAAGCACCCTCACCTTCACACCCTTGGACGGCTCGGCAGTCGGTGCCTTTTGGCTTTCAGGCTCCTGGTGTCGCATCTTCTCATCAAGAAGCTGTGATCTGATACTGCATGCAGGCAAAGAGCAGTACGAAAACAACTGCACATGCCTTCCCTACCCACCCTGCCCTTCCACCTCGATCCGACTTGTTGCAAAGTTACGTCAAAGCACCCTCACCTTCACACCCTTGGACGGCTCGGCAGTCGGTGCCTTTTGGCTTTCAGGCTCCTGGTGTCACGTCTTCTCATCAAGGTGCTCTGATCTGATACCGCATGATTACGGAAACAACTGCATGCCTTTCCCTACCCACCCTGCCCTTCCACCAACTCGATCCGACTTGTTGTAAAGTTACGTCAAAGCACCCTCACCTTCACACCCTTGGACGGCTCGGCAGTCGGTGCCTTTTGGCTTTCAGGCTCCTGGTGTCGCATCTTCTCATCAAGGTGCTCTGATCTCATACCGCATGCAGGCAAAGAGCACTACGAAAACAACTGCACATGCCTTCCCTACCCACCCTGCCCTTCCACCAACTCGATCCGACTTGTTGTAAAGTTACGTCAAAGCACCCTCACCTTCACACCCTTGGACGGCTCGGCTGTCGGTGCCTTTTGGCTTTCAGGCTCCTGGTGTCGCATCTTCTCATCAAGAAGCTTTGATCTGATACCGCATGCTGGCAAAGAGCACTACGAAGCAGCGAAAACATCTGCACATGGCCGCAGAACGCCCACAAAAAGCCGCCCACCAACACGAACCGACTTGTTCGCAAAGATAAGTCAAAAGCACCCTCACCTTCACACCCGTGGACGGCTCGGCAGTCAGGTGCCTTTTGCTTCAGGCTCCCTGGTGTCGCATCTTCTCAGCAAGAAGCTTTTGATCTGATACTGCATGCAGCAAAAAAACAAAAAAAAACAAAAACAAATCATAAATAAAAAAAAAAATAAAAACAAAAAAAGAAAAATAAACAAAAATGAAGAGAGCATACAAAACAACTGCACATGCCTTCCCTACCCTCCCTGCCCTTCCACCAACTCGATCCGACTTGTTGTAAAGTTACGTCAAAGCACCCTCACCTTCACACCCTTGGACGGCTCGGCAGTCGGTGCCTTTTGGCTTTCAGGCTCCTGGTGTCACGTCTTCTCATCAAGAAGCTTTGATCTGATACTGCATGCAGGCAAAGAGCAGTACGAAAACAACTGTACATGCCTTCCCTACCCACCCTGCCCTTCCACCAACTCGATCCGACTTGTTGCAAAGTTACGTCAAAGCACCCTCACCTTCGCACCCTTGGACGGCTCGGCAGTCGGTGCCTTTTGGCTTTCAGGCTCCTGATGTCACGTCTTCTCATCAAGGTGCTCTGATCTGATACCGCATGATTACGAAAACAACTGCATGCCTTCCCTACCCACCCTGCCCTTCCACCAACTCGATCCAATTGTTGTAAAGTTGCGTCAAAGCACCCTCACCTTCGCACCCTTGGACGGCTCGGCAGTCGGTGCCTTTTGGCTTTCAGGCTCCTGGTGTCGCATCTTCTCATCAAGGTGCTGTGATCTGATACCGCATGCTGGCAAAGAGCACTACGAAAACAACCGCACATGCCTTCCCTACCCACCCTGCCCTTCCACCAACTCGATCCGACTTGTTGCAAAGTTACGTCAAAGCACCCTCACCTTCACACCCTTGGACGGCTCGGCAGTCGGTGCCTTTTGGCTTTCAGGCTCCTAATGTCGCATCTTCTCATCAAGGTGCTCTGATCTGATACCGCATGCTGGCAAAGAGCATTACGAAAACAACTGCATGCCTTCCCTACCCACCCTGCCCTTCCACCAACTCGATCCGACTTGTTGCAAAGTTACGTCAAAGCACCCTCACCTTCGCCCCCTTGGACGCAGTCGGTTCCTTGTTGCTTTCAGGCTCCTGATGCCACATCTTTTCATCAAGGTGCTTTGATCTCATACTGCATGCTTGCAAAGAGCTACCATGGCCTGAAGCACTCGACCCCGTTCCCGACACATGGGCAGCCCATTCTCAACTTGCTCCGAGCAAAACGGGGCGTGCCTCGCGGGTGGCAGGCCTGAGGCGGCTTTCGCTCAATGCGGATTGTGCGGTTGGAGCGTTCTAGGGCCGCAGGCAAGAATCTCAACTCTACCGGACGCGATCTCATGGCGCTCTTCAAGTCCTCCTCGGGCAACTTGTGACATATTTTTTGCGCATGTAGCGAGCTGTTCATGCGCCCCCATCCCGGACACCACGTGTCGGGAGGCTGCACTTCAACGGCTCCTTGGACAGGCTTCCAGCATCTTGCCCCGCTACCTGACGCACTTTGCGTACGTGCCATGAGGGGATAAGTGTCCACCAAACCAGATGAGCGAGAATATTTGCTGCTTGACTTCAAACCAGGTGCCATCGTGAGAGTTGCTGGTGAGAGGCCACCTCTCTGTTCTCGCTATTGCAAGGGGCCATGACCAACTCCTCTGTACCATTCCAATCTTCCCGAATAATCGCCGGAGATTGCAGCGGCCAAAAAATGGTTATGCAACTTGCGCAGGGGCCCTTGCCATCCTTCAAGCTAGACAACCGCAAACAAACAAATTCCATGTGAGTGCCCATGGTAGCCCTGTTGGTGTGGTATCAGGGGGAACCCAACAGGGAAACCTATAAGGTTTTTGATGAGAGCCCATGTTGCCCTGATGCAGAACCCAAGCGGGTCTTTTCGCTCCCCTTTCTCCCTCTAAAGCACCCACAAAACACAAATGGGCTTCCCTTCAACCCCCCCCCCCCCAAATTATATATATATATATATATATAACGCAAACACAAAGGAAAAAAAAAAAAAAAAAAACAGCAACACACAACGCGGCTCCCTGGGGACGTGTGCCGTTCCCCTCTTCCCGGCGTGCCTGGAACAGCTCGTCATCCTCCTTGACCCCATGCTGCGCCGCCCAGCCGTCGGGATCCACCTTCTTGACAAAGAGTTTGTTCTCCGCCGGGCCTCGGCTTCCCCAAAACCCCTGGCCTTCGGCCTCGGGACGTGCAGGCACGGTGTCGGACACCGCGATTGGACATTTCCGTAAAGAGAGAGAGAACCGCGAAGCCCGCAATCTCGGACCCTTCCCTCCCCGGCCGCCCGCCCCCCCCCAAAAAAAACACAAAACAAAACACGCAAAAACCAAGAAACAACACAACAACACAGAAACACAAAAGAAGAAGACTTGGTGGACGTTCCACATCGCCGGGCCGAGAAATACGCCCGTGCTTCTTTGGGGATCTCCGAGGCGGAGACGCAGCCCGAAGCCCAGGTTGCTGACCTCCTCCGTGGCCGTCAGGGAGAGCTCCGGGCCTGGGATGAGCTCCAGTCGCCCCGTCTGGGAAACCGGTTTTTTTGGGGGAACCGCCGGGGAGATCGTGGGACAGGAAGCCCACCTCCCCTCCCCCAAAAACAACAAAAAATCGGAAAGAAAGGAAGGCGGCATCGAATCCGATCGTGCGCGACCAAAACGCAAGAGAAAAACAGACACAGACAAAGAGACAAAGAGACAAACAAACACAGACACACACCTCACCCGAAGCTGCGGCTTGCTTTTCTCTCCTGGAGCTAGGATTGCTTGGCGCGAGTGCCCACCGGCTGGGGCAAAAACAGCCCACAGGTGAGGCAGTGAACGCAGCAGCTTGCTGAGCACTCCTGGCGTGCCGGTTTCTTTGGGGGCCCTGTGCCTTTTCTTCAGAAGGGCCATGCGACAAGGCGCATGGGTGGCGTTTGCCCTTCTTCTTAAAAAAAAAGCTGCGAAAGGCTGCGAAAAGGCACATGGGTGTTGTTTAAAGACAGCTATGAAAAATACAATAATAATCATGCATAAAAAAAAAAAAAAAAAAAAAAAACACTACATATCATTTTTTAGGGATCCCTTAGCTTAAGAACCGACCCCGGGCAAACCTCGGCGCCTGGGAAAGGATCGATGCTGCGCGCTGCAGCGTGCTCTGCATCGACAGCTGCACGGGAGGCGCTGCCAGCGTCGGGGGCGGCGCGGTGCACTGCGCGGCTGTGGACTCGTCCAACGTGCCGATGTCCAGCACATACCTCCGCGGACGGCCAATCGGATCGGTGGGATGTGAGCACATACCTCTTGGGATGTGAGTCGATGCCTTTTTTGTGAGTGCAATTTGAGTGTTGAAAGGAAGCCGAAAGGAATCCAAAATCCAGGTTGGGCGTCCGAGTTCCATTTTGACACCTAACATCTCAGTGAGGACCCGGCCTGATGCCCGCGTCGTTGGAAGCATCCAGTAACCTCAGGATCGCGCACGTGCCTGCCTGACCTCCAATCACTACCCCCCACTGCTTGCGGAACCCCTGATTTTTTTTAAAATAATCATAATAAACTGGGGAGGGGGTATTAATCAGGGGTCATTGCAGACCAAGACTTGATACCTGATGTGTTCGAGGGTTGAGGCTTGCCTCAAAAAGAGAAGTTGATCGCCGCGTTGCAAACACTTCCCAACTTCGGTCCAACCATAGATGAACTTTAGGCGATGGGCAAATCCCCAAGCCTCGAGCTGTTTCAGCAAGGCACTCGAAGATGCTGTTCAACTCGTGCACCGGCATGATCTTGATCTCCGGCAATATCTTCGGCTCTGCCTGGTCGCACAGCTCGATGACCTCTTGCGTGGCGGCGATGCCTCCGATACCAGAAATTTGGACGCGGCAGATGTTGCCCAGCAGCTTTCTTGCCACGAAGGCGCCCGTAAAGTTCGCATTGATCCCCAGAATCACCAGCTTGCTTGCCTGAGAGGCCAGCAAGCTCCTGTACGGGCTGATGTCATGGTCCGTGGGGATGGTATCCAAGATGATGTCCAGGGAATTTCTGGCCGCCTCCATTTGCGAAGCCGCAGCCGTCGCGAGGTAGTGGTCGGCCCCAGCCCTGGTAGCCAGCTCCTTCTTGGCTTCGGAGCGGGAGATGGCGGTCACCACGCAGCCTAACCTTAAGCTTTAGGAGCTGGACATAGGTCAGCCCACTCGATATGTCTCGTCTTTTCTGGTTTGATTTGGAGGTCTGAAATGGATTTCGTGTCTTTGTTGCTTTTGGTGCCCCTTCTGACAACCACCGCAAAGTGGAGGGAGGTACCCTTTAAAAAAAAAGATCAATCCCACACAGACCCAAGTAATGGACCAGCACCGGAACATCATTTCGCCGGATGGATTCTTTTAAAGGCGGGTGGGTGGATTTGCCGGAGCAGCTGCTTGGCGAGCTTGATGCCCATCACCCCGAGGCCGCCCAGACCCACGATGCCCACGTGCGTGCCGACCGTGGCGCCGTAGCGCCGCAGCGGGGAGTACATGGTGATGCCCGAGCACATCACCGGCCCCGCGTACTCCAGGGGGAAGCTGCCGGGGATCTTCACTGCGAAGTATTCGTGCACCACCTTGGGTGCTGTAGATCTCCCAACAGTTTCACTTCTTGCAGGTTAAAAGGCAATGTGAGGGGTATCCAAAAGGATCAAGTCTAAAGATCCAACCCAATAGCAGTAGAGCCACGATCTTGGTGGAGTAGCCGCCCAGCAAGGGGCTCTTCTCCACCTGTCCGTCCACGGTGCGCGTGGCGGGGTAAGGCGCCGCGCGCCCGGACCAGTCGTCGCTTTGATAGGTGAACACCGCCCTTTGGCAGTTCTCCTCCTCCCCAGCCCTGCAGGCAGCACACTCCAAGCAGGAGTCCACAAGGCAGCCGACACCCAGCTGGTCCCCAACCTGAAACTTGGTGACCTGGCACATGTACCAGGTGAGGGGCGGACAAGCTGGCACCGTCTGCCAGAGGTGCGCTTCAAACAAATCTTCTTAGCCCCCCGGACGCAACCCGCAATTTTGAAAATGGCAAACCTAGGGCAGAAAAGCACGTGTCGGGAAAGATGCAAGCAGCGGGTGGTAGCAAACTAGTCCAAGCCGGACACACCAAGAAGGTCCAAAAGTGGCAAGTCTACACAAACAGCCGAAGAACATGTGACGGCAGCACAGAATCGAAACCCGCAACGTCTTTCACAACGCGGAAACGGGACCGTCAGGCCCCTCTTCCCACCATCTTGTCACCCACTTCGCCCCCACGGACAAACCCAGCTTTCGGGCTAAAATCTGGTCAAGGCTTTCGGGTGAAGCGACCTGGCACATGCCGCATGCGGTCCTTGGCGCCCACTTTCTCCACCACGCCGGCGAGCTCGTGACCCGGAACCTCAGCCGGTTCCGCTGGCCACCAAGCGCCAAGCGGAGTGAAGCCGAGCTGCGCAGGGGTACTTGCACTTCATGATGGGCAGGAAGGTGCTCTTGGCAGCTGCTGCATCTACATCTGTGTGGCAAACGCCACAGTACCTAGGCAAGGCGCCACGCCGTCAAGAGTGCCAAGCCCCGGGCTTCCGGCTCTTCTCATGCCCAGGCGCTTCAGATTGACCAGGACGTCGAAATCGCCCACTGGCCTGCATATGGCAATACATCAAAGAATAAGGGAACCCTCCTCAAAACAGGCGGCTTTCCTTTTGGCGAGAAGGGTCCAGGGTACCCTCAACAAAGACACGCCATGCCACACCCATATGAACAAAGCTTGCCAAGTTTCAAAGCATAAGGTGCATGCCCCTTCACACAGGACACAGAACCGACCTCAGGACCTGCCGGGGGCTATCTTTCTGTTTCTGGCCTGCCTACGCTGAAGCTTCACTGGCTTGAAGTCGCAGCACTTGTCATTGCAGGCCATGGCCATGATCTGCACCGGCTCCATGGCGTGATAGGCGCGGTGCCAACGGGAACTCGAGCCAGCGCCCCGCTGTAAACAAAACCCGTCTGCCAATCCCATGAACATCGCATGCCAGCACACCGACACCACCTACCTCCCCTCCCGCATCGGCCCAGGTGCCCGGAAAGCTGGCAGCCAAGCCGCTCGGCTCGGCTGCGGAAGCGCTCCCGCCCTGGCCAAAGTTCTCTCATGTGGGACATCTCTACTGCAGGCGCGCTGACCCTCATCACCCAAGCAGATGCTCGAAATGCCCGCGCCTGAGGCAGAAATCGCAGCTCGAGCGGCCGCTGATTTTTCAGCTGCTCCTTGATATCGGCGCCCTTGGCGGACTGCCGAAAGAGACCGCGCCGCTAGACCGCACCAAAGCAGCGAAACAGCGAATCATCTGATCGATGCCAGGCGTCCGCTAAACCTTCGGTTGCCTGCCCGTTGACTGAGACCAGGATGAAACCTCTTGCACTCTGATGTATCTGATGCATCTGATGTATATGATCACAGCTGTCCGCTTTCAAGACAAAGAAGAGAAACCGCCGAGCCATTTCTGCCAAGCCACCCAAGGCAACTTGGTGCCTGGGCTGTCGCAAGGCCAAAATATGCCAAAATCCACTCACTGCCCCTGCCCTAAGACGGTAGTGGGTTTAGCCTTACTCCTTTTCAACCCAGGCCCAACGGCCCAACTACTAGGGCCAATGGGAATCGATCGTCGCTCAACTAGTCACGTGCCACTCCAAGCGACTTCTCCGCCAGCGAGTCTGGTACCACTTTTGTGACAGTTCGACTGGCTTCTTTGTCCTTGGATGTCAACTCATCTCACCTGTCCTCACATCCTCTAAAAGTTGACCCCCCCCCCCAAACCCCAAACCCTAAACACCTGAAAACTTAAGGAACCGGATGGCTGCAACCAACAGGTCATGCAAACAAATCCTGGGGCTTCGTGCCGAGGCGCGAAGCCGCATCCCAGCTTGTCTTCGGGGCCTCTCCTCGGCGAGCCATGCCAATGTGAAATCAGCCAGATCGGGTGACCAAACTGGGCATGGTGAATCCACTCTTGGATATGGCCCGAATGTGACCAAACAACACCATTTCGGGTGGCATTTCGATGTTGCATCCTCATTTCGGGTGTCTGGGTATGGTGAATCCACGTTTAAAGTGCCCGAATGAAGACTTCGGCCGCCCAGTCAGAAAGCGCAGTCAAGCGAGCCAAGGTACAACTGCAGCGTCAGCATTGACTCCGGCAACGGCCACCCTAAATGTTGGAATTCTTCTGATGTCTATCCAGCTGTTTGGCGTACGTGTCATGTTCTTTGTGGTGTGTAAGGTGCTGGCGCAATTCCGCATGCTGCACATGCGCGCTATCAGACATTTAAGCTTCCATTCGCCAAAGTCCGCTATGTATGAAGCACTGAAGCCCAAATCCACGTACGCACAGTTACGCAATGCCGCAAGCGGGGTGCAAGCGAAGGTGCGGACCAGATTCGCGCGAAGGTGCCCAGCCTCCGTGTCACTATCCGCACGCCCTCCTGCGAGCTCTGCTCGCAAACCACGGCGTTGATTTTCTTGTTCGGTTTTTCCAGCGCTGCGCCTTTGCAGCGCGGGGCCAGCGCGCAACAACCTGGGCGTTTGGGGGGGCGGGGCTCCTGCCAAGTCCTCGAAAACGACCGGTGCAACGAGCTGTGGGCCGGCTCCAGCGAGCAGCACCCAGATGCCATAGGCCTCGGGGCGCCGGGAAGGCGGACGTCCGCCGGCCCCTTGTCCGAAGCTCGAGGGCCGCGCCGCGGTCTCCTCCTTAGGCAGCGACGGAAGCGACGGAAGCGACGGAAGCAACGGATCCCAGCCTCGTCGGGGTGCAAGCAGATGCCCAAGTACCTGACTTGATTTCGTATGTGACCTTCGCAATCTCCGAACATCAGGCAACCACGAAACACTCTTGACACCTCCCCCATCCTGCCTCTGGTGATGCACCAGCTTGTCTCGACCTCATGTTTAACTGAGGCACCACATCCGGGACACGTGCACAAAGCAAGAATGAGCCTCCCGGCGCAGCCATGCAGCTGCGTCGGCATCCGCAAAATCCCCAGACAAACCTCGCGAATGGATCTTTGTCATGGCCAATTATGTGGAATGCACTGACCCCGAAAGCGGGCAGGTCGCCTTTTTGGAACAAACGAAGGCGCAGGGCCCCAAGAACTTCATGTTGCCGGCAGAGAAAGCACCGTCTCTCTCCGGAATCTATCCACGCTTGCTCTGAGGCAAACATGCGTGCGCGATGATGCTTCCAGAGTTAAAGCCGCAAACGCGTCGCAGGCATCCTTTGCCCATGGGCGCCGCGCATGAAGCCGCTGGGATTTGTTCGTCCTTGGCGCAAGCATTGCACCGAGGCCTGTTTGAGTCGTAGGCCGCTGCCAAGTGCCCCCGGGCTTTGGGCCTGAGCTGGTCTGCTGTTCTGTGCTTCTCCCTTTCTCGGATGCTGTCCAATGGCTCCAAGCGGCTTCCCAGTGTCGAACCACAGGCACTCCTGGCAAACCTGGCTGTGCCAATCGGTTCGCGCAGCGCCCAAGTCGGGGCTTGGATGGGAGCTGCACGACTCGCGGCCGCGAGTTCGTCTTTTTGGAAACGGCGCAGGGCGCGCCGTATGGGACGCCGAATAAGCTGCCGAAGCTGGGGATGGCGGGATGGCCAAGGAACACAAGGGAATCAAATCAAGGTCCGATTCACTGGCCGGGCCGATCTCCCAAGTTTGGCTCACTCAGAAGCTTGCCTTTGGCAAAGCGCCTCACATCCCTCAGTCTGTGACAACCCCCGGGGGTGTCGTCACTCTGGACTCAGCATCCGTTTCAGTCTCGTCATCTGGCGGATTCCATTGGGACCGGCCAGTGCCGCTGTGCCAGTAGTACCTTGCGCAACCCCGCAACCCCGCCCCCGAACGAGCAAAAGATCCTTGGGTCTTAGGCGAAGTGTGACAACTGCCGCATTTGATTGGGGCCGAACCGGAATGGCCCGAACATGGCGTTTTGAGTGTCAAAGCGTGTCATTTGAGTGTCAGTGGGGGTGCGAATTGAGGTCACTTACCCCTTGAACACGAGTGCTTTGTAATTACACCTCTGCTCGTTTCTCTTGCCAAGACTCCAAGCGCTTTGGCTCGCATCGAAGTGCATTTCCCACCCGGGGGGCAAAGACTCCTGAAGCGACGCAAACGACGCAGGACCTCTGCGTCTGACGTCTGAGGACTGCGCCTTGAGGCTCGCGGGCCCCACGGGCTCTGCCTGAGCCAAACCGCGCACGCCGAAAAAGCGTCGCGCTGTCGGCAACCCCGCGACGCCTCACTGTTCGTCGAGCGGAAACGCTGCGCGCCTCCGCAGATGGCTCGTCCGAGTTGCCAAGGGACAGCCTTACAGCACGCAACCTGAACCTCCAAAGGCTGCCTGAATACTTGTCGTGCCCAACCCAAGAGCCCACTATAGCGCACACATATACATGTATATATACATATATACATATGTGTGCGTGTCTGTGTGTATGTGTGTGTCGACATAGAGGGCCCCTACAAATGGATTTCGGGGTTACTTTAGGCTTCCTCGGTGAAAAGCGTAGCCTCTGTGGCAGGGGGCCTTTTCTCTGGACTGTCCTCCCAAACCCTTTTGGCGTCCATGATTGTTGTTTGGAGTACCCTTCAAATGTGGCTGTCTTCAGTTGGTACCTTTCTGTTTCTGAGGAAAAGCACCGGGAATCACCATCAATCCATTTTGTGGGCCCCAGTACCCTCATTCTACGACAGCGAACATCGCCGACACGTCGGATGCACATGCAACGAATCGGCTCAGCTCCATACACGAAGTCTTCGTGGAGCAGTTCTGTGGCACTCAGCCGCTTACCTGGCACGGTTTGTCCCACTTGCGAAGAGAAGAACGTGGGACATGTGTCCTCTTTGCACAAATTTTGGACCCGCAAATTGGTGGCTTTCCCTTGAGTGTCCTTCTCTGGAAAAATAAACAAAAACCAAAAAAGGTGCCCTCAAAAAAAACCGAGCCACCCACATGTCCGGGTGCTCCAAATGCTGTGGGGAGATCGATGCATACTCTCAGATTTTTGAAGGTTTCCCTGTTGGGTTCCCTTGAAAGTGCCTATCCAAAATAGGTTCCCCCCAAACGCAGACCCGTGTCAACTGTTCAGGGGATGTCTTCCCTATAGGGGAATAGGGGAAACGCCAAAAACATATTGTGGCTTCCCTGGTGTCTTCCTTTAAGAGAAGCCCTCTCAAAGGGTACACTCAAGGAAACAATACACCTTTTGAAGCCAGGGCATGGGTCAACATTAAGCCATCAGGGGACCGCAAGGTTTAGTGCTTGGTTCCATTCACCGGGGTTCCATGGTTCCCCGCACCCAGAAGGAAGTGGACGAGTTTCCGGCCGTGCCTGGGTCCAGCTGCGTGCAGCGGCGGATGAAGCCCCGGCAGCCAGGGGAAACAGTGTCCTGAGGCAGCTGGGCGTTTAGCCCACCAATCGCCGGTGTTGCTTTCGGATGCTTTCGGCTTCCCTTTCAAACCGTTTCAGGGCACCCTCCCCCTGTATCCCTGAAACGCCCATCCAGCAAGGGTGCAGAAACAAGCCGCAGATGGCGGCATGGCGCTGACGCGGATTCGGCTCAAGAGCCCCGGGAGCCGGGCTGGGATGGGCGGCAGCTCCCCTGACATGCCGATCTTCAGAATCCTGGGCACTGGGGACGTCGCGAACTGGCATGTCAACATGTGGGTGGGGCTTTCGAAAGCCCAATAAACACGGCCGGTGTCCTGCTTGGTTTGCCTGCAGGGCTTTTGTGAGGCCACCTTTTCCCGAAGGGGCACGAATTGGGCGCCCTTCGAACGAAACAGGGTTTGCGATGTGTCCAAGGCCGGCGCGCCGCCATCAGGTTGTCGAAGTGGCCCCAAGGAGCATCTGCCGCGGCCATCCTGGGGCGACAAAAAGGGCGAGGCGCTGGCGCTTTACAGTGCGGTCGCTGGTTGCCGGGGCACTCGATGACCAAACAGCCGAAGCTCCAAATGTCACCTGCAATGAAGGAATTGCCAGCCATGGCATGCACATCCAGACTTCAGGTTTCCAAGAGCCAGCACATCCAATGGATGCCGTTCTGGCCGGGCCTGCCCGTCCAAAGCGAGAGTGCGTGAGTACCTGGCATCACGACTTCACACGGCTCAGGGCGGCCGACCGGTCGGAACCCGAGCCTGGCCTCTGGAGCCATCCACGGAATGGAGCCCTGGATTGATACGGAGGTGGTCTCCTGCATAGAACGCGACAGACACAACCTTTAAATCCCGAATCCCCGACAACTGCCGCTGCTTTTTTCATTTTTTTCAGCTTCCCTCAAGGGCGCCCACCAAAAGCCCGGCGCATCTTCTGAGCTCCTTGGCGCGCTTCGAGCAGCCGAAGTCCGCCAGCTTCACCAAGGAGTCGACGCCCACCAGGACGTTGGCGCCCTCGCAACCGTCGAAAAGAACAAAAAAAAAGGCGCAAGTCTCGGGTCGTGGAATGATACGGCTATGAGTCCTTGATATCCCGGTGTAGGATATAGGGATTCTGCGTGTGCAAGTACTCCAGGCCTAGACCAACTTGTCACCATGCCCAACACAGTGCGTGAGAAGGCTCGAGTTTTGGGAGCCAGGCCGGAAAGCAGCTGCTGCCTCGGGTTTGCCGCGCATGCATATGGGACCTCCGTCCGGTGTGAGAACAGTCACGTCAAGCCGATTTCCTTGGCACGCCGCGTGTACTGCGCCATCAGATTCTCCTCCAAGGGCCCAAAGTTGGAGAGGACCTGACAGCCGGTGACCCGGTGGCTCCACTGGCATGCCGTACAGGCTGGCCTGTGACAGCGATCCGCCAGCCATGTATTCGAGGTACATTTGAAGATGGCCGTCGCTCCAGTGGCAGCCATAGTACGACACAATGTGCGGGTGCCTGCACCCCCCGGGTGCCTGCACCCCCCGGGTGCCTGCACCCCCGCAGGCGACGACGGCAAAGGAAAGAAACTGCGAAGCACAGCTTTTGGCTCGCAATCCAGTTGAATGGGGCTGCACGGGGCAGTGCATGCTAAGCATGCCCTAACCACAAATCGGCGGCTTTGGGCACATGAACCGCAAATCCACGGATTTTGGGCAAATTCGGAGTGCACCCACAGCGCCTCAGGCTGCGCATCAGGTCGATTTCATTCTCGAGCTGCACCTTCATGTCCATCAACCACTTTCACCCCCCAACAAAAACCCTAAGATCCAGCTGCGCCTTGAGCCTCTCGTCCGGCTGATGCTGCACGTCGATGTGCACTTCCTCGGCGCTTCGCAGACAACGAGCCGCTCGCGCCGAAGAGGCGACGACTCACTGGTCGCAACTTGTCGCCTTCACGGCGATCACGAGGCCCGTCTCCGAGTGCATCGCCTTGAAAACGCTGCCGAAGGATCCTCAGCATGGAGGTTCTAGCAAAGAAAAACAAAAACATCTCTGCAAATTAACATGCAGTAAGGTAAGGGGCTGAATAGTTAGAATGGGGGTTTCGGAGTCAAACAGGCCGCCCACTGGCCCGCGCGGTCAAGGAGCCATGGCCGATGTTCTCCCCGCGTTGCAGGGTCTTGGGGTCCAGCTTCAGCTCGTTGGCCGCCTGCGAATTCGTCGGTTCGTTGGGTCTTCTTTTTAGGGCAGTCACTGGATTTCCCCTGGAGAGTTGATCAATCTACTGCTCTTGTTTGTTTTTTTTAGACGCCAGCTTTGGGAGGTTTCCTCTTTGGAGGAAGTGGCGTCGGGAAGCCGCATGGCAACTTGCCGGCGCACCGCCAGGTTCTCCTCCCTCGGCCCCTGCACCTGGCATAGCTCGCGCGAGTAGAGCAAACTGCTCATATCAAGCCCACTGTCCCGAACGGTTTTTCCATGAACCATGTCCTCTGAAACGACATGGGTGTGGTGGCTCCAGTGGAGGTCCAACGCAATTCCAATTTAAAGGTGTCCCATTTGTCCGATACATCCCAATGAAGGGTCATTGTCAGTCAGATTCCCATGAGCTTCAAGTGTGTGGGAAAGTCTGCCAAACTCACATCCACTACTATGAGACAGACCCATTTTGAGTGGGTACTCCTTTTCGAGGGTCAACATGTACTTTTTTAATCCATTCTTGAGACACACCCCCCCCTTCCCCCTCAACAAAAACAACAACGACAAATGGCGGCTCTCCTTTTGGCCCCCCTCAAAAACACAGCCACAACTGGCAGCTCTCCTGCTCTCCTTTTGGAATCTTCCCATCGGGTGGGGGCGCCCGTTTTGTGCCCGCGCTCCGCCTGGATCTGGGCCACGCCCGCAGCACCCCGGGTGCAGGTCAACGTCACCGCCTCCCCCCCCGTCGCCAGCTGCGCCGTGGGCTGCCGCTCCACCGCCTCCGACTCGCGGACAAAGCGAAGGAAAGGAGCGGCGGCGTCCGGCCCGTTTTGGGCGGCTGAAAACGTCTGAAAGAAAAGGAACCAAAGCCTCTTCTTTCTCAAGCAAGGAGATGGAACAGGAACGGACGAAGTGAGACCACCTTGCTCGGTACAGTCACATGTCTTTGCAGTACTTCCAAAAGTTCATCTAAGAGATCCCGGAGTGAAGTTGGAAAAAGGACCCACATGGTGAGCTCGTATGGTTCCCAGGTATACAGATATTTATAGAACACCATGCCAAGGAAAGCCACATGCTTTTTGGTCTCCCTGCTTTGACACTCACACACAAATAGCAAAAGCATGAACACGAAGCTTGCAAACCGCGGTTTCGCAATCCAAGACATGCCAATGCAGGGATTGCGCCTCCTTGAGGTAATTCCGAATCTCCTCAGCGCGTTTGGCACGTGGCAAAGTCACTGGGTGCGACACGCCCCAAGCAAAGCTTTCCCATGACTCCAAACCTCAAACTGGTGAATGCTTTTGTCTGAGCAACGCGCTCTCGTACACAACATGGATGCATAGATATGTCTTCTTTTTTCAAGGGCAGCCCCCCTTTTGGCGGCTTCAAAGGAAATCCAAGCAGCCACCAAGAAAACGCTTTTTCAGCCAGGTGGCACTCTCGCTGACAACAGCCCCCGGCATGTGGACGCCCAACTGCTGCAGCTGTGACCCCAGGTTTACCTTAGGAAGCAAAAGATGTGAGGACACTTGGAACAAGCAGCGTGGATATTAAGATAGATAGATAGATTAGATTAGATTAGATAGATAGATAGATTAGATAGATAGATAGATACACATTTGTATATATATATATATATTATATGATATTAGATATATGATGACATATGATTATATATGTATACCTCAAACTCTTGATGTCTTCACTCTTGAGTTGCAAGTTGCAAGCCCGCCTTACAAAGGAAAACCACATATCCTACATGTGCATGCCCCATGCCTGGCCAAAAGTTCCGCTGTGTCCAGGCCGCAGCGCCCGCTTCACAACATTTGTCGCTTACTGCCACCCAGGCCACCGAAACAGCTTTCCTCGGTGGCGCCGTTGGCCGGCCTGCGCGACAGAGTGCTCCGGCCAAGGGCGTCACAGTGCCTGATACTTCCCACACTCACTTGCCCAACAATACACTGGAAATCACAGGTTCGCCTTTCGAGCCCATGCACAGAGGACATTTCTTCTGGGCCACGGATCTTTAGCCAACTTTTCGTCCAAATCAGTCCCTTTTGATTGCTGTTGGGTAACGGGTCTTGGCCCACGGACCGAAAGGATCTAAGCCTCTGAAAGGCTCCCTGCGGTCCGTGGAGCGGCGAACCGGCACTGGCCTTGGCAGTCTGCGGCCTCCCGCTCGGCCTCTTCC